GATCTATGGGCTTCGCGCGACGCAAGTGTTGCTCAGCAACCAGTCCTAACTGGACACTGCCTCATTGGCACTCACACGGTGAGGCTAAAAGTTATGGAAGACGCAACTTATCCATCTACTCTCCTCCACGATATCATGGTTTGAATAAAATAAATCACAATTCTTACCATAAATATGGGTCTGAGTGCATAATTTCCCACAAATTATGTGGGTAAAATATTTGGCACATAAAAATTTTTTAATCTCCGTAAAAATCCCGCATCAATAACAGTACAACTTAACCGCAAAACACGCCAATATTTCATGCTCACGTTGCAAGCAATTTGTGTGGCAATAAATAGTGATGTTAAAACAACAATACAAACACAATAATAATAAAAGTGAAAATACATACAAGAAAACATCAGTAAAGTGCATGCATTGCAGCAACACTGTAAAAGCTGGCAAAAGCGAATGGTTTTGGGCAACAATGTTGCGCCTGAAAATATGCAGTAAAATGTCAAATAATACAAAAAGGACAATTGGCAAGATGCCCAACTAACTAATAACAAATGTAGTGCTAAAAAGAAGGTAAAATAGGGGAAGTGGAGAAGTAGATAAAGGTGAGTAGGAAAAAAGTGAAGAAAGGTGGTTAATATGGTACAGTAAGGCTAAGATCTAAGGGGAGAAAACAGTTGCAAGGGGAGCTGTAATATGAAGAATTAAAAAAGAGCGGGGAAGAAGCAGGTTAAAAAATAGTTTAGGGGGAGAAAAGTACATCCGTAAGCGTAGCATAGAGAATAAAAAATATATCAGCCTATATTTGACCTTCACTTGACTTCTTATTATTTTTTTTAACCAAAAGTTATTAGACCCAAAAAATATTTTTTCCACCAAATATAACACAAAAGTATAAACGCTTGCCAAAAAAAAAATACAAAAACAAGAAATCTGCACACAAAAACAACTGAGCTATAAACTCAGTAAGTTTTGTGTTGCAGCAGTTAAGGCGAATTGACCGCTGAAAACCAAAATTGTTCCAAAAAAACACACCAATAGTTAACTGCATAACGGTATTTCGCAACAAAATTATGGGCAAACATATTGCAACATTCTTGTAAAGTAATAAAATACAAGTTTAGTACCGTTAAGGAAAAAATTGCGCATAAAATGCCGCACAAATACCACAGCAGAAGAAATCGTGAGAGGCAGAGGGCAGCCAAGTTCCTACGAAAACCGAAGCAAATCGCAAACTGACAATAAAATTTTAATGGCAATAAAAATTTGGCAACACATGCTTAAATGTTAGAAAATTGGAAGCTAAAAGCGTTAAGTTTATTTTTTGGTAGAGGAGGTAAGGGGATAGTTAATTTGAAAATCAACTAATGTTGAAAAATCAAAGTTGGCTTTTGATGAACACAATAAAAGGGTGCTGAATTTCCGCCTGAAAGCTTCAATTTTACCAAACGATTAGCGTTTAAAGCTTAAACCGTTATTTTCGAAGATGGTTTGACTCATCAAATATATTTTTCAATATACGAAGTTTGTGTTCAAAAGCGACGTTAGTACCGACTTTTATTTTGTTATCTGCTATTTTGGCAGAACTAGTGAGTAAAGTAGAATACCGTTATATGAAAGTATGCGTGGCCTTCAAACGTTTTTTTTTTTGCCTATTTTTGACTCTATACCGGTTAGGTTAGGTTAGGTCATAGCGCTGATCCTAGCGCGTAGCGGTGGATCTCACTTGGATAGCTGTGAACGTTGGTACTTTGTGATACCCAAAAACTCAACAAAAATTAACTCACTTCCAATCGGATAAAGAATTTGGGGTAAGAATGTCCTCCCTAGCAAGCTCATCGGCTTTGCAGTTTCCGGCGATTGCACTGTGACCCGGTACCCTAGCAAATCTAATACGGCAGAAGTTTGACGCTATTACTAATGAAGTCATGCACTCTTTGACTAGCTTTAAGTGCACGGTCGGCGAATTCAAAGCCAATATAACTGTTCTGCTGGCGGAATGAATGCACATCTCTCTGCAGGAAGCTGAAGTTCGGAGCAGTACATCAACTGCTAAATTGCCATCAGCCACGTTCATTTGGAAGACACTGCAGTGATCTGGTAGCCTGAAGCTAGAGTTGATGGAGAGAGATGCAGTTAGACTCTCTATGCTTCTTCTTGATAAATTTCGGTCTAAGTGAGTTATTACCAGGAACTTTTCTGTTACTACTATCATAAAAAGAGGGGGATCGACGCTTAGATGAAGAAATACGACCAACCTAAGAACAAAATTCACTTCAATACTAAGTAAGACCGTTTATACTTCGTTATCGTATTTATCAAGAAAAAATATATATTTGATCGAAGTATCATCTATCTAGAGAATACTACTGTTATAAAACGGATGTGTTCATACACGGCTAATCTTACAACAAGCCGAATGCCTACAAATATTTATTATTTTAATCGTTTCAGTACCAGTGCCTGATAGACTAGGATCTTCCTCCCTTACAATGACTGTATAAGGCTTTCGAGAGATCGTGAGAGAGCTCCCTACGTTTTGATTCGCTTGGTTATCCATCTTATATTCGGGTAGACAATGTATCGTACTTAGAAAGCCTTACCACTCGGTGCTTTCTTTCGGATGTAGATTATAAGTATAAATCGAAAGGTACAGCTTTTGGAAACTTGAGACAAGAAATGATGTTGTGACGATTTTTTTAGCGGACACATTACATTTAATGGAAGGGAATATCTGCACCTATGACTTTAACTGGTCCCCTTGTGATCTGAGACAGACTATGAGATACGTCAATACGTTCTTAATAAAAAAATGAAACTCACTTCGATTGAGTAAAAAGCTGCCTTTCAACCTCTCACGCACGATAATTTTACAAGTCACGCATAATCACACACACGATGCAAAAGGAGTGGTGTGAAGCTCAAATCCCTCAATTCGATCACGCTTTACACGCTCGTTAGCATTCATTAAGCATAACGAGTGGATGGCTTAATTGATTATTTTCTTCTTCAAATATTTACGAAGCATGTTTGGTAATGAAATTTACCTATTAAAAAAGGCTTAACTATGTCTAAGCAATTGAAAAACCCATAAACTTCGTTCCACAAAAAAAGTATTGAACAAAATTGCGGGTGCGCCGCTGCATGGACTGATTCAAGGAAAGCTTTATTAGGGTTAAATTATTTGGTGGTGAATTAATATGCGCAGAACGTACGACATTTTGACAATAAATGCGTGCGTATGCGGCAGGACTAAAGGGTTTTTGAGAATGTGGTGATGTAAGGCGCAGTAATATGACAAGTTGTGGTTAAAATTATGCTTGTAGAAATGTAATTAGAAAGTTGATGATTAGAAAGAAAGGAAGTAAGGTGGTGCCAGAGAATGGAGATCCAATGTTTTCGAACTTTTAACAAAATTTTAAAGTTCAATTTGTGAAACGCTATGTAAGACTCATAATAATCACACCAAAATTTAGCCGGTTAAAGGCAAAGCAACACGAGTCTCGGAATATATAATATTTGGTCTAAAAATCTGACTTAATCCCACTTTCTTATATACCAGAAAATAATTTTTTTAAAACGATGAGCTTCCAGTACCAATTTGCAGCGAACAACATCATCAAAGCGTAGAACTTTATATAGATGATTATAAATATGGATAAAAACCGAAACAATAGCAAGGAATTCTGTTGCAAAATCGCAACCCCAAAGGCAGACAGTCTCAAGTTACAGCAGGTAAAGAGCTCCGGATTGTTTATAAAACATCTTACAGCTAGTCGGCGGCAATTAAAACTTAAAAGGCGTTACGTTGGACGAATACCAACAAGGTACCGACAACAAAAATATAGAGCAACTCTAGCAAGAAACTGAAAAAATTATATCTGTCAAGAAGTAATCAAAGACAAATCGGACTTATTAGTTATGGACCTGCTGGATTTACTAAAATTCTTTGAGATTGTTCAGAATATAAAATCTTAACAAACCAAAGGACCTTTTATCACCGCTTAACATGAACTTAAGACTCTAAACTCTAAACAATCAACAACAAGACTCTAAACAGTTCAAAAAAACGATTTCAAGCAATGTTTCCATGACAATTAGTTCCAGGAAACCGTAAAAGATCCGCAGGAACTCTCAACTCGGCAGGATTCGCCAAATTGCGGAAAATTCTATTTTGAAGTTCTAGCAGCTCTTTGGGCTTACAAAAAATACTAGTCGTTACAACAACACAGCTAATAATACATATTGCTTTCAAGGCCGATTCAAAAAAATTGATAGATAGCCAGACTTTGGAATGTCGCTGTTCTTTCACCACGTTTTCACTTCAATTTTAATACATATTTTCCCGGACACCCTGAAGGTAGCGAGCTAATGTGCTTTGAGTGGCCTAAACAAGAGTTCGCGAGTGTGTAGGCGGCTGCTGAATGTGCGTATGATTCTATGACGAGGATTAAAGTCTCCTTGACAGCTGCCGCACGAGCCACCGCACGCACACACATATGTATACACAAATGCATGTCATACGTGCACGCCAAATTAATGACGAAAATAATAAATGAAGCGCCTATGCGCGCCAAAGTATAAAAAAACACTCACTCATACTCTCACACACACACACACACAAAGAGTGGGCTGCGTCAAACCAAACTAAGAATGCCAAAATTCAACTACAGCAAACTGGCTTCCAAACTCTCAAAACATTCTTTTTCATTTCGCTCTATTAATTTCAACGGCTGAGTGTCGCCAATGGGATAATCTTTCGTGCCACACACACTTTTTTGTTCTTAATTTTTCAATGTCCTCTCGCCTATGCCGCTGCTCATACACACATTTGAATTATTCCCAAAAGCGCATTTAATTTTCATTCTACGTGACAGCATACAAGCTGCCCTCAGTCGAGACATGTTAAGCCGTAAAATGTGTCTAGTCTACTTTTAGGCACATAATTTACAATATTCAAATAAAAGAGATTTGAAAAAACAGGAAAACCATTACGAACTCACCTTTTCACGTAGCATATCACGTATGCGGCCGGCTTGATTCTTGGAGCGATGCAGCTCGAGTTGAAGTTCTACACAACGTTCTTGCCAGTTAATCTGAAAACCGAGAATTTAGAGAATTAAATAAAAAGAAAGCAGCTTTAAAAATGGCATTAGTAGAACATATTCCTAATTATAATTTAAATCTGATCCAATATAATCAAGCTTCGAAATTTATTAACTCCACAAAGTCAGTTCATAAAGTTAAGTCTACAGAAATCCACAAGAATGAATTGTAGCTGAAAACCTCTTAGCACCTTAGATTAGGTAAGTTTATGACTCGAGGTCCATTAGTCCAGTACTAGAACGCAAGATGCCAATAGAGATCCAACTCGGTCTCATTCTTATGCGAGCGGGGCAAGGATGCCCACCCGCCTCCCCCTGGCAATTATCAGCGATTCCGCTATGACCATGCCTGATGATGAAGTAACTAGATGCTATTTCTAGTAATGACAGACACTCCTTGACTAGCTTTGAGCACACAGTTAGCGAGCTCAGATCTAATATTACCGCTGTGCTCTTGTTATAGAGTTCGAACCAGAAAGGTTGTTTCATCATCGAACGAAAGAACATACTTGAGTTCAGAAGGAAAAAATTAAGGATTTCTCTAGTTTATAGTAGATAGATACCGTTGCAGATGGGCAAGGAGTAGGTGATAAAGTCGAGAAGTTCTCTTGTCTAAAATCTAAAGGTAGCTTTCCTGGCAGACCTGGAGAAGCTGTTGAAGCCGAGGAAGGAAAAAACTAGGTCCTACTCTAGTCTATGGTCTATATATAGTTTCCAGACAGAAAGAGGGAAGCTGATGAAGTCAAGAACGGAAAAAATTAAGGTTTTCCTAGTCCTAATTCTACAGATGTCTTTGCAGGCAAAGTGAGGAAAGCTGATGAAGTCAACAAAGTGTATTTCCTTTCGAAAGTTTGTTGATCCACAAATGTGTCTGTCTTCTAGGCTAAACCATAGAAGGTAACTAAAATTAAAGTATTCCTTAGGTTAAAAACTTACCTCCGGCACTGGTTGCGCGTAGTTATTCACCTGATGCACATCCAAATGTTCGGTGAGCGTGGAGAAATGCGGCCAAGGCGCATCGGTATCTAATGCGGCCAAACCCGGATTAATCGTCGCACCAGTAACCGACTGCGTCGCGCCCGAATCTGACTTTTCTGCTGCATCACTGCCGGACGCTGACACGTGCTTCTTAGCCATAGCAACATTACCGCTCCCACTAGCGCTTTGCAGCGACGCCGCGCTTGGCTTAGCTGGTATGGGCGGTGGACGCTGCACACGTCGTGGCATTAAACGCGGACTATTTGGCGTTGATTGCGAGACGCCATTGCCACTCGCGCCCGATGTGGCCACAGAGATGCGCATTGCGGCGATATTTTCACAGTGCGGACGCGTTAAGGGCATGTTACCGCTAAAGGATGTGGCGCGTTTGGTGAGCAAAGGCGATGAGTTCAACGACTGTGAGGCATACATGGGTGGTAAGGACATTTGCTGTTGCTGCGCGCCGCAGTACAATTGCTGCTGCTGCTGTTGTGCGTTTTGTTGATGCGCATAGTAGTGCGCCGATTGCATGTGATGCAAGTGATGATGATGATGCGCTTGCGTCGCCGCCGCCGCTGGAAAGGTATGCATATACGCGTTGCCATCCTGCGCCCGCATATAATACGCATGCGCATGATTGCTGAAGTGCTGATGGTGAAAGGCAAACGGTTGTTGACCAGCGCTGGCAGTGGATGGCGTGGCGCGGCCAGAATTAGCTGGCGAAGGTGAAGATGAAGACGCAGAACGGCGGCGCGCATGTAGCACTTGTTGCTGTTGTAGATTGGTAAGCGAATCGAAGATTTGCGATAAGCGCCCCGAAGGCACTTCGTCAGACATTTGTGGGCGCGTCGCTGTTGAGCAAAGCAAAGTGCGTGTTTAGAGTATTCGAGGGGTAGGCGCTTGGTTAAATGTTTGGCGCGCGCAAAGTAAACATAGCGTAACTGTGAAGAAAGAGAAAGAGAGAGAGAGAGAGAAAGGTAAAAAAATGTGTTGTGGTATATATTTGAAATAAAAGTTAATGACAATATACAATATATAAAAAATACTTTTTAGCATCAAAAAACCAAAATTTTGGGTAGAGTTGCCACCATTAAAAAATTCAGAAACGATAAAAAGTTTCAAGATTTTTAAATATCTTATTTTATGAAAGACGGTTACAAAAAATATTCTGATTTTAGGGTAGAGTTGCCAGCATTAAGAAATTCAAAAACCGTAAAAGGTTTTCACAAATTACATAAAGTATTCTGTAAAATTGAAGATATCGTTGCCACCATTACACAATTCAAAAATTATAAAAATTTTTAAGTTTAATAAAAACTTAGTTTTCTGAAAGACGGTTTCACAAATTACATAAAGTATTCTGTAAAATTGAGGATATCGTTGCCACCATTACACACTTCATAAACTATAAAAAATTTTAAGTTTAATAAAAACTATATTTTATGAAAGACGGAAAAGAATTTTAAAAATTTTGGGATAGGGTTGCCACTAAAAAAAATTCAAAGCCATAAAAAATTTTAAGTTTAATAAGAAATGTTATTGTATGAGAGATGGTCTCACAAAATTATTATCCCGATCTGTTCCGAAACTTAACGGGATCCTGAATTTTTCGGGATATCCAATAGAAGTTAAATTTAAAAAAAAAATACGAAATTAATAATAGTCTTTGTAATTGTTCCTTTCGTCTTTGTACGCAAATATATATATTTGAAATTTAACAATAGAAAAAAGTTGCGCAATGGCATTTGAATATATCCACCCACTTGCATCCACATTTTTATGTAGAGTACACATCACCATAAAACTTTGAAGGTAGCATATATTGAGAACCGCCAATAATTTCCTGTACATGTTGCGTGCCACACTGACGGAAATTTCAAAAAACACTGACAGTTATTGAAATACGGGACAATAGAATATATGAAAAGGGAAGGCACGCTTTTCATAAACAATACAGTTGTCGAACCTGTTGACGCTGTATACAGCTTGTCATTGAGGTAGGTAACGGAAATTACTTGAAATGCGTCATGAAAGTATTCACGAAAGTTGGAACATGCTTTCTTTGTAGGTTTTTGCAAAATCGGTAAGCAATGCAAATAAAGTGTAATTCTATTTATAGTCGCGAATTCATAATGTGTGAAGGAGTGGTTTGTTACTGCATTGCAAATCTTTCGCAGCGCATGGATGGACAGTGACGTACTTTGCTGCATTTAAAATGCTCATTTTGCAAGCAATGCATGTGACTTCCTTCTACGCAGACGCGAGCGACGCTGTTTCAGAGACCGGAAGACATGTGTACGCAGTAAGAATTCTAATTTGACATAAGATTTTGTGAGAACCGAAGTGGATATTCGCAATGCCGCTATGCTACTCACATATACAGGAGATTTCAAAACAAGTAGCCACAAAAAATTTTCTGGTTAGACTGCTATTGCGAGATATGCAATAATCTAGGTATACGTCAAGTTTTATGTTTCTATCTAAAAAGAACAATCTATCAAGAGTCCTAAAAGGTCGCCAGGTCAATGATCAATTTAACGAGTATCGACTTAACTCACTACTCTTTCTCACACACTTTCTCCCCCTCTCTGGGTTATTTAGCTGCAATGTTTTTATACCTATTCGAAGTTTACCGTTAGTTTTATTTAAATTTTTCACAATTTCTGGCGCTTGTGCAAAAAAGCTATGCATTTATTTTGCTTCTCCGCTATTTTATAACCAAACTCAAGCTTCAATATGAACAGATCCTCTACCTGACCCACACTGAAGCGCATAGCACACGTGTATAAAAATGCGACAGCTTTTATTAAAAATTGCTGCGCAACTCAAAGGCATTTTGTTTTAGGCTTTTTTAGGTGCTGGCAAAGCCAAAGGCGAAACTGTGAGTGAGACAGGGTGCACGATATGCAAGAAAATTGCAGCCATAAAAGCGGTTCGGGAATATTGCATCATATGTGTATATGTTCGTTTATGAGAATATATGTATGTTTGTATACTTGTGTGCAAATTTTGAAAATTATTAATATGCGCGCAGGAACTTTTCTCACAACTCCACTCAAATTCTGCACCAGAGAGAAAAGAGCTGAGACACAAGAGCTCGAATGATATAAATATCGCCTACCTCATTTAACCCGAAAGTTTCAAAGTTCTTATATAATTTATTTAGAAATAAAAAATTTTAAAGTAAACTGTTTTAATTTTCATAAAATATACACAATCCCGAAAAAACCGGTACAATCCCGAAAATTTGACTCAAAATTGGTTTTCTCATACAATTTTATTTTTTATTTGCTACAAAAAATATAGTGATAAAGCCAACCAATCCCGAAAATTTTCGGGATTCCGCAACAATAAAATTCTTAATTTAATATACTCTCAAATAAAAAAAAGTCAACTAATTTCATTAAATGTCCATAAAATAAAACTAAAAAAAATCCCGAAAATTTCAGTCATTCAAAATTGTTTTTAATTCAAACAGTTTTTCATATAGTTAAAAAAAAATAACGCCAACCAGTCCCGAAAATTTTCGGTATCCCGAAATTTAAAAAACAAATTTTAGAATTTGTTATATAACATTTATGTAATTTTATTAATTAATGACTAGCTGAATAATTTTTAAGTCCCGAAAATTTTCGGTTTCACGAAACGATAAAATTCTTAATTTAATATACTCCGAAACGAGTTTTTTTTCTAGTTAAAAAATAATAAAGCCAACCGAAAATCTCGAAACTTAAACGAAAAATTCTAAAACTTATTATATAGCGTTTATGCAATTTTATGTAATGTCCAGTTGCATTGTTTTTAAAGTTCTGAAATATAAAATATACTTCCAAGCTATTTGCTGAACACTGTAGTACATGCATTTACTTGTTGCTCAGCTGTATCACAGCATTTTGCTACTTCATATTTGCCAGCTAGCACTAGCTTTCTGTATCATACACATCTTTAAGCTAGTTTCACATACTTTTTATGTAGCTTCTTCTGTTTCCTTTGCATGCACCCACATGCCTTTATAAAATACGCGCGCTCATGTGTCGCGCATTTTAATTTAAGCTGCAGCAGCTACTGCACGCTGCGCGACACTGCAGGTGGACGACACTATTCCTGCATATGTGTGGCAAGCACAGCAAATAGTCAATAATAACAACAGCAACGCCAACTATAATAATATACGAAAATTATTTAAACAAAGCGAGTCGTGGCGTGCGTTTTAATGGTTCGCCGAGTGTGCTACATAGTGTTTTATGTCACATAACTATGGATAAATGTGATATATGAGTTTGTGTGTGTGTGCGTGCAAATTTAAATGCAAATGCATGTAAGCGTACATATATGCATGCCATAAAGTGCGTGCCACATTACTATTTTATTAATATGTTGCATTGCTGCTTGCATGTAAATACTCGCCTGAATGTGCGAGTGTGTGGCTGTTGTGACTTACGTGACTGCGTCGCGCGCCATGGCATTTATGTGCTCTTTGCCTTTGCATACGAAATGGCAAACAACGCGTCTTTCTACGTTCCCTTCTTGCCGCCGGAAAGTCTTCGCAACAACTCAATAGTGCGAAACTAAAAATGGGAACGCGAAGAAAATCGCGTATTGAAGTAAGTTTAAATTGATTTAACCTCACGCTATTTGCATAGTACATACATACATATTATATATACTAATACATACTTATACAAATATCTTATGCAACGAAACTACCAAAATATATATATAATTATGGTCTGCACTAATAAGTTTTAAAGAGCGGTGGGGCTTTCTAGAGCTTTTAAAAGCTTCTGAAGCTCTTAAGCATTAAAGAATCTACAAAACCTGCATTTATGGTTGATTTTTCTGAGCTCTACGGTGCTGTTAGGAACTATATCTATAGGTATTTGGTATGAGCTTCAAAGATTTTTCAGGAGCTTTTAAGGTTCTTCAGCACTAAAATATCTATTAAATCTGTACTGTGGAGGGTTTTATGAGCTTTACAGAGCATTCAAGAACCACTCTCTACCTATAGATGGTTTTTATGAGCTTCACAAAGCTTTCAGGAATTTTTGAGGTATTTAAATACTTACAGCCCACAAAACTACTAACCAAGTTTGCTTTTCATTATTTGTATAAAGCTTTAATGAGCTTTTGAAATACTGATCAACACATTTCACTTCAAAAGAGATGACAACCAAAAGGAGAGACTGAGTGGAGAGTGGAAATGAGTAAAACAGAGCTACTGATCACCTTTTAAACTTTCTGGCAAAACTCACTGGATCAACGAAGACCATTTTTAAGTTTTTTAGTCAATTGAATAATTGATTTAAGCATTACAACTTGGCAAATACAACTTCGAAACCAATCCGGCTTCTAAAGTCTGCTCCTACTTGATAGTAAAATCATTAGTTAAGCTAAAGAAGCCACGATGATGTGAAATCTGCTGGACTGAAAACGCTAAACTCCCAATGGGTATACTCGATTTCAGCAAATCAACGAGATTCGCTGAAAAAATTAAGCGGTTTGAATAGAACCAAACCCAGAAGACGCGACTTTCCTTTTTTGCTTTGAAAATATCTTGTGGAGAACTTATACTCTCTTTGTTTTTGGAATCCGCAAAGAAAACAATGCTACACATTTATGGGCTCAGCAATACCTGCTGAAACTTTATAACATCAATTAAGTTGCAGATTATTTCTTAAAGCTTCAGCGCTTCACAAACTTTCGAAACTACTCAAACTTTCCGAACCATCCAGCCTCATGACGCAACACAAATTTATTGTGATTTGAAGTGCTTGCCTATGGGAAACCATATTTATTAAATGCAGCAGACATAAATCGGCTAAAAGTGATTTGCAATTCACTTAAATGCACTTAAGTTCATAATTCATTAAGTAAGAAAATTGCGCAATTCCGGGCGGACGAGCTTTTGTGGCAAAGAAACGACTACGAAAAGCGCAAGAAA